AAAATGGCAAATTATACACATTTTGTAGAAGAAACACAGAGGACAAAGGTCCTCGGCACAACCAGGATTCCTTTATGCCATTGTTTTAGATATTCCACGCAATGAGAGAAAAAGAGAGTGAGAGCAAGGGAGAGGAGAGAGAGAGAGAGAAAGTGTCCCTGCAGTTCCACTAAGTCAGGCTGATCTGGCTTTGCATTCCCAGGGTTGAAATCTTCCAGTTCAAATTATACGTCTGTGCCAGGTCACACAGTCAGAAAACGTACTTTGTTAGAAGAACGTTTCCTCCTGAAGAGGAAACTCAGCTCCCCGCCCCACAAGACATCCTCTGCCAAGTCTTCACACATAGCACACAGTATGTGGAAAGTGTACTGTAGAAAGTCTTCCTGAAGAAGAGATTTGTGGCCAAAAAACCCAAATCCTCATTCCCACAAGACCATCTAAGTAGCAGGAAGAACCACACGGAAGTAGGTTCCCGTGGCAGGATGAGGCCAAAGAAATTAAGGCCTCATGTTAGCAAAGTAGTGAAGCACGTGCTTAAATGCCGTTGTGGAATCATGGCAGAAATGTATGCTGAACAACTAGGAAGCCATACAGGAGAGCTATACAGCTATTCCTGTAACGTACCTGAGTGTCAAATTTAGCAGCGCTGTAGAGGAAGGATTTGCAGATGTCGTACATTCCATCGGTGTCACAAGTAGAGTTCTCCAGGCACGCGAATGCACCACAGCCCACCTGAAGGGCACTATTTAAACAGCGAACCACTTCAGCTGGAAGACAGGCAGAGAACTTATTACGTACTCCTTCCCATAGGCACTTTTCAGCCAAGATGACAAAGCATTGAACCACTGGATTAATCAAGTCTCACAAGACTGCTGCAAAGGTAGTCGTTCTTGGCTTTCTGTTTCATAGGACTGGGAAAGGGAGGACACTAGTGGGAGAGAATAGGTACCCAAGGCAGAGATAAAATAAGGCATTAACTGGATTCATGAAACCACCGACTGGCAAAAGGTGTGGGTAGAACCCAAATGCTCCTGGTTGCCAGTTGTGTGCTGTAGCCCTGTAGAAAACAGAGATATTAAGCATTTCATACTGGGTCATTTCCACATAAAAATTTGCCTGGAGGCACGGCTTAATGAACATTTGATTGTTATATTTTATTTGAAAACTGGGTAGAAGGAACTCGGCATCAAGTGGGGGAAAAAGGCTACTGCTGCTGATGGAGAGAGGAAGGAGAACTATCAATACAGAAATTATAAAGATCTAGGCTGCTACTAAGACATGAGGGCTCAAAATAATGCTTGTTTGAAAGGAGGTCATGATGAGCAGACAATTTCCAGACCACATCCAGTACTGGAAAGAAAAACTGAATCCACAGTAGACTGTAACACTAAATATAATAGCTATAAAAATGGAAGGCCAAGTTATTCTGAAGAAGATAAGCTTTAAATATTATTGGGAGTATTTATATCATGCTAGGAAGGGAAAAAGTTTAAGAAAAGGTCTTAAGCTTATGCACATTCTTGGCTTTGCTCTGTAGGGCAGATCAAATGTTATAAAAAACCTGACACGAATATGGTGCTCAACTCTTCAGAGCAGTGCCCGAAAATGAAGAGAATCTAAGGAAACCTTGATTAGGTAGAATCCATTCTTGATCAAAGTTATACACGGTGGTCTCCATTAGTTTAATTACAATAGTGCAGGTATAAGCTCCTGGGCATATAGCAGGGCACAAACCTTTTTAATACATGCTAGTATGCAATTAAAGAATAATCCAGCTTCCCTGGCACAATACTGCTCTAAACTTAACAGGTAGTAACCTTTTCTGGTAAGCTGAACGTCTGTCCCATTGTGTTCATTCAGAGCCTATCCATTACTTTTTGCCAGATCATGTTACAGGCTGCCTTTAGGAAGAAACCTTGAGTCTCAAAGTAAGATACTAGACGTGGGAGTCTAACTACACCAAGTGGTAGAGAGCAAAAAAGCCTTACTAAAAATTAGGAATGTGGCTAAGGAAGTTAGTTATTTTTTTCCTAAAGACACCAGTTGTAAGGTGGGTAGCTACTGTGCTCTGATACTTCTTATATACGTCTGAGGAAAGCAATTTTTGATAAGGTCATCCTCTCTTGCACTTAAAGCTTTGCCATCGCAAGTTATTTTCATAATTATGTTTCCACAGGTTCAGATTATAACTTTGCTTTCAGCAGGTTTAATATGCATTAGGCTTTTATTGTTTTAGGCACAGTGGAATAGTGAGACACTATGTTTCTATAGCAACCAAATACAAAAAGGAAATTGAGCAAACACCCTAGTATAATGCTGCAGAGCCCTGCAGATCTAAAATAAGACATCTGTTAATGAGCTCTGAATTAGAGACCTCCTAATATCTTTTCAATATACAGGAAGGCTGATTTTCATTTTTCCATTGTTCAAGATAAAGCACTGTAGATGTCTAGATCATCTGAGCACATGAAGTAGAGGTATTCAATAAGAACTTGCTAGTTATTTTTATCTGTTGTATAGGCTACTTAGCTAAATGTCATGATCATATTTATATGTTACTATCCCAGGCAATTTCTATGCGCAGTGGAGACCACACGTTAACAATGGACACGTTTTTAGGATTGCTGCATTCTCTGAACTGGTATTAGAAAAAGATTCCTGTCTCTCCCTTTTTGAACATAGATATTTAGAGGAGCAACGGTTCAGTGAATAAAATCAGTGGAGAGTGAACTCAAACCCCCACCCAATTTGTTAATTCCCTATGATGGGGGGAAGAGAGCGAGAGACGCATTCAACCAGCATGAGAAAAGTATATTGAACTCGGAGGGGGGAGGAGGTGGAGGGGGGAGGAAGGGCAACGGGGAAATAGACCCTGCAGAGTACATCCCAGTTTATAATCCAATTCTGGAATGAGATTGCCTCCCTCTATGTATAATTACATATCCTAAAGAATCATTTTTCCAGGCTTTCTGATTCCACAATAGCTTATTGCTATCAGTCATGAAGTTCAGAGCAAAAAGAGCATCAACACAATATTTGCAGCACTGTTAACACATCAGGGCTCAGCCCCAAAGCCCCCTCTAATAAGTGTTACCTGAGTTCTGTGCTGCAACCCTGGTTTTCCTGGGGCTCACAGAGTCATTCTGCTCAGCTTCATAGGATGCAGAGGCACTGATCACCAGCAGCAGGAGGAGAACTGACTTTAGGAGCATTCTTTGACAAGTTTCTGCTAAGTTTTTTTTCCCCTTGTGCGTGTGTCTCCTGTTCTCTCTCTCCTCGGCTTCAGCAAAGATGCGGATCTGGATGCACACAGAGAAAGGAGTCTGTCAGAGACTTTGTAGCTACTGCAGCCTTGTTCTGCTTTACACCCCTAGCTCTTGCTCACTGGGGGACCAGGAGAAAAGCCCAGGGCTTTTATAGCCGGCCTTATCTGTCCCCCTCCAGGACAAGGAGCCAATCAGAAGGTGGAATAGGCAGCCAATGGGAGCCTGCGCTCATTCAAGCACCAGAGCACTGGAACTTCACAGGAAGAATATTTTCCAGCCAATTAAAAGTACCTGCCAAACAACAATAAAGAAAGTTAATCTTCACAGAAATAAGGGGGGGGGGGGA